TAGTTTCATGTCTGTAAGATTTTTTATATCTTATATTATAATTTAAGTCTCTTATGCGACACCAAGGCTGCATTTATTGGATTGAAAATAGTAAAAACATTAATACTGTGTAATATTAATAACTTTTTCTTATTTATATATATATTTATTTAAATATGTAATGTATTCCTGTGATATTAAAGCTGTTTTCAACAGCCATTATACAGTTTTTAGTGTAGTGTCACATGATCCATCAGAAATAATTTCAATATGCTGATACATACGCACATACGTGTATGTGTATGCATAAATCAAATGTAAATTCATGTCCCAGTTACACTTAATGTTGTCAAATGTTCCTGGTTAAATAAACATGGCATAAAAAAAGAGAAACCAAATACGATTCTATTTTGTATTTTCACATTAACTATGTAATGAATGTTCTATTCATTAAAACCAAGTATAAATCTCATCAAGTTCGTTTTAAGCATTTTTACATTTATTCCAAAATAACTAAAGGCACAATTTGAACAATAATTTTTATTTGTGAAATGATGTTCAGCTGTTCTTTTTATCTGTCAATTTATTTTTGTAACACTGTCCAACACTGCATGTGTGTGTGTGTGTATAACCTAAAGGATTATTAGGAACACCATACTAATACTGTGTTTGACCCCCTTTCGCCTTCAGAACTGCCTTAATTCTACGTGGCATTGATTCAAAAAGGTGCTGAAAGCATTCTTTAGAAATGTTGGCCCATATTAATTGGATAGCATCTTGCAGTTGATGGAGATTTGTGGGATGCACATCCAGGGCATGAGATCTGGTGACTGTGGGGGGCATTTTAGTACAGTGAACACATTGTCATGTTCAAGAAACCAATTTGAAATGATTCGAGCTTTGTGACATGGTGCATTATCCTGCTGGAAGTAGCCATCAGAGGATGGGTACATGGTGGCCATAAAGGGATGGACATGGTCAGAAACAATGCTCAGGTAGGCCGTGGCATTTAAACGATGCCCAATTGGCACTAAGGGGGCTAAAGTGTGCCAAGAAAACATCCCCCACGCCATTACACCACCACCACCAGCCTGCACAGTGGTAACAAGGCATGATGGATCCATGTTCTCATTCTGTTTACGCCAAATTCTGACTCTACCATCTGAATGTCTCAACAGAAATCGAGACTCATCAGACCAGGCAACATTTTTCCAGTCTTCAACTGTCCAATTTTGGTGAGCTCTTGCAAATTGTAGCCTCTTTTTCCTATTTGTAGTGAATTTGAGTGGTACCCCGTGGGGTCTTCTGCTGTTGTAGCCCATCCGCCTCAAGGTTGTGCGTGTTGTGGCTTCACAAATGCTTTGCTGCATACCTCGGTTGTAACGAGTGGTTATTTCAGTCAAAGTTGCTCTTCTATCAGCTTAAATGAGTCGGCCCATTCTCCTCTGACCTCTGGCATCAACAAGGCATTTTCGCCCACAGGACTGCCGCATACTGGCTGTTTTTCCCTTTTCACACCATTCTTTGTAAACCATAGAAATGGTTGTGCGTGAAAATCCCAGTAACTGAGCAGATTGTGAAATACTCAGACCGGCCCGTCTGGCACCAATAACCATGCCACGCTCAAAATTGCTTAAATCACCTTTCTTTCTCATTCTGACATTCAGTTTGGAGTTCAGGAGATTGTCTTGACCAGGACCACACCCCTAAATGCATTGAAGCAACTGCCATGTGATTGGTTGATTAGATAATTGCATTAATGAGAAATTGAACAGGTGTTCCTAATAATCCTTTAGGTGAGTGTATATATATATATATATATATATATATATAGCATAACTTTATATTTAGGCTTAACTTAAATCCTGTAGGGCCTATAGTGCTGCTTTTATAATGTTTGACTGAATTGTTTGCTTGTGTTTTTCCTATTGTACAAACTTCTTATACTTTTTTTTTAATGGCTAATATTGTTTATTTAAACATTATTGATCAATAATTCATATTTTATATAAATAACAATTCTCATGAATTGAGAAAGTGTCTGTTTGTGATTGTGATTTCGATTCCAGTGAAAGTTACATTATTGCACCATTAGATAGCAGCACTCATAAGTCTTTATGAGTGAGTCAGTAGCAGTCTTTTATATTGAAATAGACTGAAACAAGAAAACAAGGACGTTGTTTTTTACTTTAAACAACTCCCTAAGACGCAACTTGCACTGACCAGCACTGACAAATGCACTGACTAGCTAGCGCTGTCATGGGAAATCCCCTTAACTGTTAAAAGGACAAAGACATCACTCAAATTATTACAAGAACATAATAATTACAATATATGGAAAAGTTGCACTCAAACTTGCACTCAAAACACATCAGCCAGGATGGGCCAAGAAAAACAACAGCAGTTGATGAAAGACAAATCACAAAAAAAACTAAAATAACTGTCAGTCAAATGATCAGCAACCTCCAAAAAGCTGGGGTGATGATGGTCTCACAATCTACTGTTCACAGGAGACTTCGACTGAAGAATTACACATACAGAGCAAAATTCAAACTTCTGATCAGCACCAAACATAGAAAACCCAGATTAGAGTTTGTAAAACCTTTATCAAAGTGACGGGAAAGCAAAATTGTGTAGAAAGAACAACGGAACTGCAAATGATCCAAAGCGACCTCATCTGTAAAGTATGGTGGATGTAGTGTCATTTGCGTACATGGCTGCCTCTCGAACAGGCATGACTGGGGCAGCTAAATTAATTCCGATGTGTACAAGAAAATGCCACCAGGCTCAAGTGCTTCATATTGCAACAGGACAATGACCCAAAACACGAGTTTCACAAATTCAATGAGTTTATCATGGGAAAGAAATGGACCAAGTCATTTTCCAGATTTAAATCCAATTGAACATACATTTCACCAGTTTAAGAGGAGAGCAGGAGACTAAAGGCAGAAACTCCCCAAAACAAGAAATGGATGAAAACGACTGCATTAAAGGCTTGTCAAAGGATGAAACCAAGAGTCTGGTGATGTCTTTGGGTCGCAGACTCACTGCTGTAATTACATCCGGGATTTGCAACTAAATACTAACTTGTACATTTTCAATTGTTTAATTGTCCAAATACTTAATAAAACTTTAATAAAAGTGCAGTTCTTAGTTGGTAAAACGTGTGGGTTTAAACAGCCAGAAATAAAACGTGACATTGTGTACTTTTGCCTCATGTTCATCTTATTTACAGATGTCTTGACTTCACTGCACAGATTTACTGTCCAAATACTTATGGAGGGCACTGTGTGTGTGTGTGTGTGTCATGATCCTGGTCTCGGACTCGGGTCTCCTAAAGCACAACAGCATTAAATGACAGTGCACTGGTGCTAATTGACTTCAATCAGTTTTTTAAATATTAGAACCTCATTTTTGTACATACAAACATAGGGGGAACAAAATCCGATGGCAAGCAATCCAGCTGTAGGAATCCGTTCCCACCTGGTCTCGATCTAGGGTCTCCCGAAGCGAGTCAGCGCTAAATGACAATGCAATTCCCACAAGGCCAGTGGTGCCAACTAGCTGCCGTCTGTTTTGTAAATATTAGAACTTAATTTTGTACACAAACACAGGCGATCAGAATCCGTTCCCCCACCCATATGATGAGAGAAGTAGATGAAGTGGCTTAAAAGATGCTGATTCTATCCTCTTTGTGCATGGAACTATACCAGCACCAGTTTGATAAATATTCGAACATTCTTGTGTAAGAAACCTGTGGGGAACAGAATCCGACGGCAAACAATCCAGCTGTCGGAATCCGTTACCCCACCCATATGATGAGAGAAGTTGATGTATTGGCTTAAAAGATCCCGATTTTATTCTGTGTGAGGACGAGGCTTAACCAGCATCACTTTAAAGATTTATTTTTTGGCGTTTTTATCCTGATAGGACAGTGTGTAGACAGGAAATAAAGTAGAGAGAAGGGGGACGGATCATTAAAAGGACATGAACCTGGTCTCGAACTCAGGTCTTCTAAAGCACAACAGTATTAAATGACAGTGCTCTGCCCACAAGGCCATTGGTGCCAACTGGCTATCCTCAGTTTTGTAAATATATTAATCTCTTTTTGTACAAACATAGGGAGAATGACCACAGCAAACAATCCAGCTGTTGGAATCCGTTCCCCCACCCATATGATGAGAGGAGTTGATGTAGTGGCTTAAAAGATGGTAACCATTTAAAAGTCTTTACTGTCACTTTTGATGAATTTAATGCATTTAAAAAACTTATTGACCCTGAACTTTTGAACACTAATGTATATGTTGAGGACAATGTGCAGACAGTACATTGTTTTCACAAAAATAAAACACTAACAGTGTTACATAACCCAGATAGCACACGTACGTCTGCAAGATGTCTGTTAAAGATCACTTCATCTGGAAAGCATCTGCTGTTTACTAACATCTGATAGACATGTCAGTTTAACATACATTCTAAATCATTACATTACATTACACAGACATCTTCTAAACGTCTATTTGACATCTGACAGGAAACGTCCTAGACGTATTGCAGATGAGCAAACACTCTAAAAAATACGTCTTCCAGATGTAAACACACACATCAAATAGACGTCTCCGTGATGTACGTGTGCTATCACATAATATTGGTGCATGCATACATAACACTACTTTAATGTTGACTAATTTATATAACTGCCATTTGAGAGGGCACATTTTAATTCATTTTAAGCATTATGTATCTTTTGGGGAAGTTTCTTTAAGTTGTTCTGTAACATGGAAACAATGGGGCTGTGAGGGCACTGAGTGACATAAAGTGACATTCACTCAGGGGCCCTCAGCACAGGGCCCATCATGTCTATATTTGGCATGAACAGTACGGTATGTGAAGAATGGCCTCTCACACATACAGACCATAGACTGTAAAAAATAGATACAGACGCGCATTACTAATTTTAACCGTATTTCTAGCCGCAATTACACGATACAAATGTGTTTCGCCAATGAAAACAAACGGATAAATGGCGTTTTAAAATTGTTTGTCACTTCCTCTCGTGACGTCACTGTGTTTGTGTTGAGCGAGCGGACACAGTGGCAGATTAGCTCCAAACCTGCAGCTGTTTTCACTTCGTGCAGGTACCGTTTTAACAACTAATCGTCTTCAATTACACACTTTATGGTTCGCTTTTTTTCCGCGCACTTGCACCTAAGAACAGAGGTAAGAAAATGTTATTTCACGTCCTGGGTGTCGAAACTAGCTCCAAACGGCTAACGTTAGTTCACTCCTGTAGGACACATACAGAAAGCAGTAATAAACATGAGCACAACATTGTATTTAGTTTTTCTTTTTTGAAAACATTTAACGTTATTTTATATGCAACTAGACTTTTTTTTACTAGCGCTATTAAGCTGTCATGTTTTAGACTTCATAATTGCTTGTCAAATATTGTGTGTTTTTGCTAGCTGATCTGTCATGCGCCCTTTTGTTGACAGCATGACAACAAGACGAGACGAACAGCAAGCAGCCCGTTTGCCTTATTTATCTGTATGACCCAGGCTATATGCATATTTTGATCACATTTATAAGACTGGGTCGAGTGTGTCAGGCACCTGCTACACGCAGAATAAATGTATTTTATACTATAGACAAGATGTCAATGGTTTTCATGGCTGAAGCTTCATTTAACCCACCAGAGTATTACCTGAACCTAGGAGTAGCCTACCGAAATTTTACAAAATTAAAAATTAATGAATGAATAAGTGTTTTGAAGAGACGCATTATTTACCCTCATATCACATGGACACATATAAATGAATGAATGGAGTTTGAAATTTAAGTAGTGAAAGAATAAATAATTAAATGCAGAAAATATAAATAAAAGCAACAATCTATAAATGAAACAATAAAAAACGGGTACAATTTATGTAAAATAGGTAGGCCTTCAATTAATGTACCTTTTTACATTAAATTACAGGCAAATGTAAAAACAGTACTAGTATGAAAACAAAACAAAAAGTTTATCTTTTATTTATTCATTTATTAAGATTAATTTATTTACATCTATTTATTTTTATTTCATTTGAATAATTGTCAAGTTAAAAATAATAATAAATAAAATTATCATTTGTTTAATATTTATAATATTTATTGACATCTAAATAATTTGACAATTGTCAGATTATTACTATCATTAAATAAATTGTGGCCGTAAGAACATGCTCATTGACAGCCAGTACTAAATACTAAGTTGGTATTAAAGAGAATAATGATTCATAATGTAAAGAAAGATATTATTTGGTCTGTCAACATCAATCTCTTGTTAATAGATTTTTATTTTTATTTTTTATTTTATTTTCCTCTAGGATTATTTTTTCACTTTCACAGCCATCTCATCTCGGTGTGGCGTTACCCAGTCTGGGTGAAATGTCCTGTTGTTCCACATGAGCTCTACTATGTGGTACATCATGCAGAGTATTCAGAGCAAATACTCATTGTCGGAAAGGCTCATTCGAACCATAGCGGCCATTCGCTCCTTCCCACATGATAATGTGGAAGACCTTATACGCAGGGTAAGTTGTGCTACCAAAGCGTTAGAAAGTTGTTTCGTATATCACATTTTGAATGAAAATGTGCTCTTTTGACAGGGCGCAGATGTGAACAGGATGCACGGCACGCTGAAGCCCCTGCACTGTGCCTGTATGGTGGCTGATGCTGATTGTGTGGAGCTCTTGCTGGAGAAAGGCGCAGAGGTACATCATATAGCTTAGAAACCAACCATTTCCCTACATTCAGTGTTTTTACAGTGTTTAAATATTTGTAAAGGGGAAATTATTTATTTACAAATATCAGAAATAATTAATCATTAATCATTCTGTTGACATCTTCAAAGAATCCTGAAATAATCACAAATTCTATAAAAATATATCAAGCAGCACAACCATTTTCAACATAGATAATACGAAGGATTGTTTCTTGAGCAGCAAATCCGCATATTAGAATGATTTCTGAAGGATCATGTGACACTGAAGAATGGAGTAATGATGCTGAAAATTCAGCTTTGCCATCAGAGGAATAAATTAGATTTTAAAATATATTTAAATAGAAAACAGTGTGCAATATTGTAAAATTAAATTTGTAATATTGTTTTTATTGTATTTTTGATCAAATACATTTTTTTAAATAATTCTTACCAACCCCAAACCTTTGAACGATAGTGTATATATTTTATTATAATATTTTCTCATTAGAAAATAGTAGTAGTACATTGACAACCTACTCAATAAGGTTTTCTTTTCAAGAATCTCAATCTTTTCATGTGGCGTTTTTTCTTCATTATAATATCATTATTACAGATGCATCGCCTCAACATTTTTTTTTTTAATTACTTTATTTACTTTATGCTCCCCAAAAAAGATAGAAATGAATTTTAATTCAGAAATTAAAAACATGCATATTATATAAAATTTATACCATCTCAATTTCTCACATAGGTAAATGCCTTGGATGGTTACAACCGCACTGCCCTGCATTACGCAGCAGAGAAGGACGAGGGTTGTGTGGAGCTGCTTCTAGAATACGGGGCCCAGCCAAATGCGCTGGACGGAAACAAGGATACCCCACTGCACTGGGCCGCCTTCAAAGATAACCCAGAGTGCGTACGGGCCCTGTTGGAGAGCGGCGCCTGTCCGAATGTCCGCGATTACAATAACGACACGCCCCTCAGTTGGGCGGCCATGAAGGGCAACCTGGAGAGTGTACGTGTGCTGCTCGAATACGGCGCTCAAGTCCACGTCACCAACCTAAAGGGCCAGACGCCCATCTCGCGGCTGGTGGCGCTGCTGGCTCGGGGCCTGGGCACGGAACAGGAGGAAGAGTGCCTGGAGCTGCTTTGCCGTGCCGCCGGGAGGTTCGAGATCCGCAGGGCCGACGGCTCCTTACCGCGTGAGCTCACTAAAGATCCTCAGTTACTGGCTCGACTCACTAACCTGGTAGCCCAGCCGCCCTCGTTGCGAGCCTTGGCGCGCTGCGCTGTTCGTAATAGCCTGGGGGTCCAGTACCTCCCGTCTGCGGTGAAACAGCTCCCGCTTCCAGAGTCAGTGAAAGAATATGTGCTCCTCAGAGACTGAGCGAGAAGACTGTGCTTAATGTCAGGCGTGGAGGATATGGATGTCTTCTGTGTATGTGAACATGTGATTGTAATCAGACTGCAATCTGAAGTGTGTCTGTCCATATACAGTGAGTGAGTAAGTTGCCCATTTAGGTTTTTTTTTGGTTTTGTTGCTATAATGTCATCAAGCAAATTCAGACTTGGGTTGTAGTACGATTATGTGCTTTGGTGTAAAGAAATGGTGATCTGGTAGGAGAAAGATGTCGATAATGCTATTGTGAACCCATAATGTTAAAATAGCAACAGATGTGAAATATTCTAAATGCAAAGACACAAAATTATTTAAAAATATTATTTACAAGTAAATGCAGTGGAAACAAAATAACACTTTAACAGCACTTAAGTTATAATCATATATTACATTTTTGTGTTTCAAACTTCTTTGTTAGTTTTTTTTTTTTTTATGCTCTAATGTTTGATGTTTTTAAAGGAAATAACTGAAGCCTCTAGATCAAGTTTTAAAGTAAAATAAATATTAACATTTTTGTTAAATCATTTTATGAGGTTTCCCAGTCATCGAAAATAATTTCATCCTGGAAAAGTTGGGAAAATTTGTGAAAAATTTTAGTAAATTTGCCAAAAACAACAGCATTGTTTTACATTTGTTTTCTAATCTCTGTCATTTTGAAGTAGGGCAATGTAAGAACACTTTATTGGATTTCAAACCAACGTCTTTCTGTCCCTCTTTCACTTTCATACTCTCATGATACATATTTCTCTGATTTAGAGTGTTGGACTGTATTATACTTTTTTTTGGTGCTAATGATTGCAGAAAATTAGCTGTGCTTTTACGTTTGAGATGAAAACATTACGAACCTTAACAAGAATCTTCTGTGTCAATATTGGGAATGTTCATTTTCTTTCAGCCTTAGTGTTACGTTAGCATGATCATTCCAAATGTTGGCAAATTGTAAATGGAATGTCTTAAATGAATGGACGTCTACACTTGTCACATCTTGTGAACCCCAAGAGATTTTTTTGCAGCTCTATTTTCATTTCTCTGTTGTTGTTGTTGTTATATTGCTTGCTTAAGAAGTATGTAGTGCTTACATCTAGTTTTATGCATGCAGACTAACCAGTAAAAAACTTCATGCATTGTTCAAGCGTTTTACTGAAGTTATTTCCCCAAATCAAGTGAACTGTGAACATGATCAAGGAATTTTTTGTCAATGACACGAGACCTTATATGAGCTGTGTATATTTTTTTACCAGTAGAGGGCGCTGGAATACCACATGATATAAAACAGTCAGATAAAGCTACAGAATTTTGTCAATTGCCTTGTTTGTAAAATAATAATAATAAACATGTTACATTAAAAGAAAAAAGACTGTTACATACAGTATCAACCCTTAAAGAAAAATCATCTCAGTTTTAATTGCCTATATTTAACCTACTTACAAGTTACAATAGCTAAACAACCAGCCATTATACCGGTAAGACTATTTTACATTAATTATATTAGCTGAAAAAGCAAAAATGTACACTTGATTGTTTTTTAGCATTTGCTGTTTGGTACTAAGATAAAAAAAATAAGCCATATTTTGGTTTTCTGAATAGGAAATTGAATAATGAGAGAAGAGCATACTTTTATTGCATATTATCTTTTCAGTTCCTTATCAGCACTGTTTGTGTTTTCCATCATGCTTTATTTAAACTCCTGTCCAAGCACAGGATGTCCTCTTTATGAGAATGCAAATCAGTCAGGAAGGAAACTACAGTAGGACTAAATAAAATAACCTTCCTGTCCTTTCAAAGCCGTCACCTTCACAGTTTACATCACGGTTTTCATCTTCATCATTGCCTTAATCAATAGCAGAGGATTGAATCACTGAACACTTGTGAAGAGAGACAAGCCCAGAGATGGAAACCACATTTGTTTTTGTTTTTTGTCAACATTGTCATAGTTTATGACATAATCTTAGGGTTGAAAAATTGCTTCCTACTTTGCCATTAAGAATTGGAATGCAGAATCACTGTTAAAAGAACAAAGAAAACGACTCTACAATCCTTTTTGTATATTTTATTGAGATTATTTATTTTAACTGTTTAAAAAAACTTTTTATTGACAGAAACTTGGAAAAATAGATTCGAGTTTGATAGAATGTGTTATATATATTATATATATAATGTGTTATATATATTATATATATTGAGAACATTAATATTAAATATTAATATTAAACAGGTCAGTTTAGTACCTTACAAAGAAATCTGGCAAATGAAATTGCATATTAGATTTATCCTACGAAATACAGATGGCAACAATAAATTCTAGACATTTATTTTTAGTTATTTACAAGTTAAAATACTCTATTTTAGAGTAAGAATAGGCTATTAACAAGTTCTTGCCACAAATCTTTAACATTATTACAGTCAGAGAGAGTATATATGAGCTATAATTATTTCTTCGTCATGTATCTGTATCATCATACAGGAAGTACAAGCATCAAGAATGTCAGCATATGGAATTACTAAACGAATGAGTTGATAGGATCGTAAACACCCTTTCTTTAAACACCCCAGGTGAGGGACGCCACAGACACGCTGTGTGACGCCAAAATCTCGCGATACTTCACGGGGAGGGGCGTGTCAGATTCCAAGAGAGGAGAGAGAGAGAGAGAAAGAGAGAGAGTGGGATAGAGGGGCGCTGTGGTAAGTTTGTAAACATTCTTATTCTGTCAAAAATGTGAAATCGATGATTGTGTGGATTTGAAACAGTGTCCAAGCGTTATTTATTTTCGTCAAAAAGGTTTGTCTGTGATCGAGAGTAACTTTAATGAGGCGGCTGTGAGGCTGTCAGATTGGCAGTGGTCTTCCACCGAGGTCTGCGCGTACACTGCAGCTCGTTCAGGGCTCTTGACAAGCGAGGGCAGAAATTTTAGGAATAAGAAAAGTGTCAAGCCGTCATTTATTACTACTATATACTATGGAGTTGTTTATTTTATTTTATTTGTGTCAATATATATGTTTTTTTACTTATATAAAATGGCAAATTAGATACCACAGTTACTTTGTTTGCTTTAAAGTACCATTTGCATACTTTTGTTTCGGGGCGGGGGGGGTGTGGGGGGGTTATGAGTTGTAAGTCCGTGAATTCCATTTTTGAGTGGAATTTCCGTCCGCCAATGAGACGCAACTAATAATCTTGATTGACGTTTATTGTAGCCAAACAGCAATTACATATTTTTGATTGACGTGCACATGACCAATCAGAACAACAGTAAGGCGGGCACATGCGGGAAAAGGCTGGCTTTAAAGTTGGCATGTCCGCAAGAAGACATCAGTTAGCATGGGTTTGCTAAATAGTTAGCGACGTTTATTTTCGGCGAGGGTACTAGAAACGAACGTTATTTTATGGTGTAATGCAGCAATCCAACATAAAAGGTAGAAATTGTACATTAAAGTGTCAGAAAATTATATTTAAACAAAACCCGGCAACCGTACCTTTTGTTTTTAGTTGCCATAACTGTACATTTGCCTTAAAAAGTTTCTATTTTTGTTACCCTACATACAGAAACAATCAAGAGTTAAAGTAGGATACATTCCAGAGATGTATGAGTAGTGCTGCTTTTCATATTTTCAACTAAACCTTTTTGCTAAAGGTTTAGTAAATGCTAAAATTATTACTATTTGATTAGGTTTACATTTTTGTGTGTGTCATGAATAGATAAAATAGGTCAACCCCACACAAATGTCAGCATTTTAAATCACAATATTTGCTTGCCAATTAAACAAACAATACTTGATTATGGCTTGTTTGTATGATATACAAAAATGCTATACAAAACAAGCACCTGCTGTTGATCAGTTGGTTATCCCAAGTATTGTGTGCATTTGGCCAAGATTATTCAAATAAAACAAAGATAATGTGAGCATTTCACATCTTTTTACATAATGCATGTAGTGTGAAGAGACACCCCCCCCCCCCCCCCCCCCCCTAAAACCTCTGATAACAATCAACTTTATTTCTTCTGAGCATGTGAATGTCCCATCTTAGAGTGCCTGTAAACACCATCTGCACATCTGAGGACCTGTAATTGTATATATAGGTCATCTTCGCATGGCGCTTGTTGAATTCCAATAATGTTACTCTTTGGAATGACCGTACGTCCCCATATAATACATATGGGGTAGACATATTTGCTTGTGCACAAGTGAACATTTTTGCAGCTGTTACAATAATTGCTTCACAGCGACTTGATTAATGAGAGCTCGGAGCCTTGCTTGTTGCTATCACCTATGCTATAAGGCATCTGCTGTAGCTCATGGTGAAGACACAATGTGAAGATGTTTTACAGGAAGGAACTTCATATGCCAGTTTCACATGATGAAATCGGCTCTGTTTCTGACTTGTTAAAACCATGCTCTGTGATTAAACGTCAGTGAACTGTGAATGAAGGATTATGTTATGATTATGTAAGTTGTCCTGGCAACAGTTTTATACAGGATAATGTAATTGACAGCACGGTTGGTTGTCCGGATGCATCTACAGAGTAATAGAGTAGACCAAATAACAGACTGTTCAAATAAAACGGACAATAAGGGTAAACTGCCAGCCGTACTTGAGTTGATTTTGGGCATCTGTGCTCTTCTAATGTTATGTAATATTTGGTCTGGTCTAAAAGGTGTGACGGGCTCATGGAGTACTGTGAGAGAGCTCTCAAAGATTGAGGGAGATACTCCATTTTAGAAAAAATGAATGGACAATATGGGTGGCTGAAAAATGTTTTCATCCGATTTTGGCAAACACGTCAGGCTTGATGGATTGCTGTGATTTCGGGATCGTTAAAATATGATATTCACATGCCATCATGTTGCTGTAATGTTTAGAGAACTAGTAAAATATGCCAAAATGTAGTTGGTATTTCAATTATAATATAATTAGCAGCTCTTTCAGAACATTGCCATACTCGACAGCAATAGCCTATATCTTAATATTTCTTTCCAGCCTTTTAATATAATCTTGATGTGTATTTGCTCTGGAATTTCTTAATTTTTTTTTTAAAAAAGAGTTAAAGGATAGGATCAATCATCTTGAACATACACTGTAGTTTAATGCGAGAAGCAAAATATGGTAAAAAAAATTTCTAAAAATAATTTTGACAGTGTTTTGCAGTAAAGGAAAGGAACAACATTTTTTTTTTTTTTTTTTTTACATACACTGTCATTTAAAAGATTGGGGTCAGTAAGATTTTTAAATATTTTTGAAGAAAAAATTATGCCAAGGCGGCATTTATTTTAAAACTTTATCAAAATACATTAAAAAGTTATATTGTGAAATATTATTGCAATATAATAACAGTTTTCTATTTTAATATATTGTAAAATGTAATTTATTCCTGTGATGGTAAAGCTGAATTTTCAGCAGTCATTACTCCAGTCTTCAGTGTCAAAAATCGCTTATTATTAGCAATGTTGAAGGTTATTAATGTTGTGCTGCTTAATATTTTTCTAGGAACACCATTTTTTTCAGGATTCTTTGATGAATAGAAAGTTCAAAAGAACAGCATTTATTTTGAACTAGATATCTTTTGTAACATTATAAATGTCTTTACTGTCACTTTTGATCAATTTAACGCATCTTTGCTCAATAAAAATATTAATTTCTTAAATAAAATCGTACTGACCCCCAACTTTACAATATCAACATTTAAATTTTAATTAAATTAGTGTTGTGTAATACTATATGCCAGCAAAATCATTGCAATATATGGTGGATATTTGATATATTTCTGCTAAATGTAGGAGTGAAGAAAGACTTTTGCCTTTTGTTGACTTGTAGCATGTCCAACATTGTTGTAGCAGAGTTTTTTTTTACAGAGGGGGACTTTGGAGGGGGGTCCACATTGTTCCTAGCGGACTACTGGCCCTGGGGATTGCATTGGGCTACATTGTGTATTTCCTCACCATGGATTTAGCACCAGGCACACTGCAGTCATGCAGACATGGATCTAAAGTTTCATTTGTTCCATTTTCCAAAGCTCAGGTTCACTAAGGTTACATAAATCCAAATCGGCCATAGAACGCACCCCTGATCCCCGACACTATCCGCAGCACCTTTGGCCTTTACCTGCGAGTTACCGAACACCCTCCTAAACCGTTCGTTCCATTCTCTGCTCCCTGCCCCACTTTTCTGTCGCTCCCTTTTTGTGGGGTCTCCCTTACTCTCTGGCAGCTCACTCACCAGATTCCTCATTCTTGGCTCCAGCTGGAGCTATTAATACAGTTTGTTTTGTCAGTTTCCTAGCAGACAGCATCAAACAGTGCACGCCTGAGGCCGATTATAGCCGGACCTCGCTACACGTCCACCTGCTGAGTAGGAGAAATCCAAGTTAACAGCAGGATGCTGCTTGTCCCCGTGTCGGACCCAATTGATTCTGAAGAACCAGGCTTTGATTAAAAAAATTCATGGATTTCACATGGATTTTGGAAGAAAATAAAGCCACTGAAATTTCATCCTGAAAAATCATGGAAATTTCTTTAGGGAATATACATTTTCTAAAATATTTCATAGCTTATAAATTGTTCTTAATACATTCAGTCTCTATAAAATGATTTTTAAAAATCTAGTTTTTGTTTTTGTGTTTTAAAAAAAATCTAAAGTTATGGAAAAGTTATTGTTTACAAGGGTACCTCTAATAATGCTAGTTGTTCCTGTATGATCTGTTAATATAAGACTCATAATTTTTAAGTAATTTTGGATAAAAGCTTCCTCTTAATGATTCAATGCAAATATTAATGTAAATGCAAAAGTCATGGAAATCGATTGGTCGAAAGGTGTGGGAACCCTGAATGCATTGCATTTTCTAAAACTCAACCAAAGCAGTGCACTGCTACTAGTACTGCCAGCTGTCTTCCTGTTTAAATGGTTGATGATAGACAAACCCAGCTGTTTGATTTATCTCAGTAGTACAATCAAAGATGGATGTTGTCAGAGCCGTGGCCTAGCAACTAGCGCTAGTGCAGGGACACATTGAGCTATACTCTGGTTTGAGTCTGGTTGTATCAGTTCCCCTTTCTCCTCATCATTTTATGTCCTGTTTCTACAATCGCTATCAAAACAAAAGGTGACAGAAAGGCCCAAAACGTAGCATTTTCAGCAAGTAAAGTTGAGATAATTGGTAATTGAGCTTGGTATGGTGTTGTGTTCCCAAATGATAAATGAAGCCAGTAAAGTTCTTCGGCAACTTTATCAATATTTCAGCCATTCAATCTTTATTGTAGATATTATACCTGGAGCTGTCATCTGCACGGACCAATCACGGTAACCCTAGGACTTTTTCGATGTGGAAGAACTGGATATCTATAGTCAAAAAATTCTTGTCTACTTAATCTGCAGCTACTTATGGGTGTTGTCATTAACGTTATTTCTCTAAATTAATTTTATTTTATCCCTTGTTATTCGGATACTCCTCAATGTCCCGAAGTGCAATGGGGTGGGTGGGGGTTAGAGGGGAATTAGTAGTTATATAAGTTTTCTTTCTTATTTTACAAAATATTGTCAAACTTTTTCAAAATAAATAAAAAGACTAAATTACAAAAAATCAATATTTCAGCCAAGCAAATTATACGGTTTGCTACTTTATCATCCTTTTTTTGGTCACTGTGTGTGAAGTGTGTCCACTATGTATCCACCCAGTTATTTCTTAGTTTATCCACGTTGTGTTCATGATAATATATAAATAAATGCTGACACGGTTAAAATGCGAAATTGAAAAAGCGCTATTTAAACGTCACCGTTTCAATCAATGGTTTTGGCCCTCCAAAACGATTTAATCCAAAACCGATTTTTTCCCCCCAGCTAAATATTTTTGTTTGCCAATGTTTTTTTTTGTCTTTTTAGGTGCAAATGTTATGATGTCTGATTAATAAAAGGTTTTATTTAGAATTTGTTGGAAATAATTCAGTACAAAAACGTTCAAATATATTGCAAACAAGTCTTAATCATAACAGGAAGTGGTCTTCGATTACTCCAGTATGTCTTTGTTAATAATCTATCTTGGCTCTATTTTTGTTTTGGATGGTCAGTTGTAGCACACATTGATGCAGGTGGGCCGATCTCTGTTTGTCTGATTTATTGTGATGATGGTAAACTTCAGAGAGTGCGCTCCCCTAGTTTGAGGCTTACTGAGATGTGGACACTTCACCAAGGGTATAACGAATGGATGGTTCTCATTTGTATATAGTCACTCCGTGCATTTCTCTGACCAAACTGTCTGTGTGTATTGCAACCAGACCGAAAGCTCTGGCACCAAGCTGTTGGCTCACTTGTAGAGCGTGTGAGGTCTGCAAGGAATCAAGCTGCTTAGCTTGTACGCCACTTTGATCTCGGCCGTAATGGGAAGGGCCTTTCAGGGGCAAACAAGATGCAGTTACTTTCTTTATGGAAAACAGAGCAAGGGTCTTGGCAGTGGCTGCTAATTTCAGCTTGTAATAACTGCACGTCCTTCCACACGGGACACTTGAACACTAACACAATTGAAATAGTGATGTATATTGGTGTTTAATGTTTAGTCCAGCCATACATCCATCCGCTTATCCTATGTAGGGTCACGGTATTCTATTCTAATTAAAGTCTAGGCCTAATATTTCATTTGATTTATTTAAAAATATAACGTTTTTTATGTATTGCATGTTATATAGCATGTTGACAACTTGCATTGCTAAAAAAAATCTTTGGACATTAGCGTTTTTTTAGGGATGCACAATATATCGCCCACCATATCAATGTTCATTTTTAATTTTATTGTTATCAGCCCCAATGCCATAGTAAAATTAAAATTTGGCTGATATATTAAAGCTGATAAATAATGGATTATTTCCTTAAGCTGAGACACTTCAGATGCACACTGTTTGCCATGATGGTTTTTAATTGCTTGAAATATGATTGGAATCGCTTCCAAAAAATAAAAATACAGTTAAGTGCAACATGTGGAGCGCAAGTCTGTCATATAGGCTACATAAAATTATAATGAGAACATTATAAGTGTGTGCTTGGGACATGACTTTTAATGATGAGACATTAATCAGGCTCTCAAAAATTATATAAAAATTTGGATTTAGATTTATCTGCAAATATATCGGTTATCGGCTTTCAAGTATAAAAAGTTATCGGTATTGGGCAAAATTTTCATATTTTTTGTCTTTGGCTGTTGTCACATCTTGGAGTGTTTTTTTGAGCGTCCTCTCGCAAGTGTTGTGTTTTAAGACGATGTGAAGTTAAAAATAGTCCTTTAACCCTAAAAAACTGCATCTTGATACCACAGCATTGTTTAATTCTTTTGTGCTCCGTCTATCTGTTTTTTGTACACGAGGGCTACATTTATCTGAAGTAATGTTTTATAAACGCTTCCTAAACCGCATGTGCATATGAGTTATAATTGTTTCTTAAAATATGTATATTTTTTTGTACATTCATATTCCATTGGCACCTTGAGAGCAGTTGCTTTTGTTTGCTGTAAACTTTGCAGCGCCAGTGTTACATAAATTGGCAGCGACTCAGGCTGCAGACCTGCCTGCCATTTTAATGGCTTTTTATATTTTCACAGATGACAACGCAAGCTTTACCCATTTAAATCCCTGCTGTTATAGTCAAGGTGTTTGGTTCATTCTTCACCTTTTGTTTGCGCTGGTGATTGTGTAACACACCAGACGTCATTCCGAGCTGGTGGGGCATGTTGAAAGTTTAATGAAACTTCCCTCCATTTAAATTTAATGAACGTGTTACTTTTTCCAAAATTCCCAGCCTCTCCACACGTGGACCGTTGGGTTTAAAGGAGTGAGAGTGTAGATTGCTGTAAAGACAGATTCAACCATCCCAGTCAAGATGGCTAAAGGCCACCACTACTAAATAAAAATGCACACTAAACATATGTGTCAAACATAAATAGATTTAGAACAAAAGCTGGGTAATGTATTGAATATTTACTGTATGTTCGTGATGTTGTCAGTATAAAAGGAAGCAACATTGTGAAGATTATGATTATGCTCTTTATTTGGCCGATAGGTTTACTAAGGACCTTGACATAGTTTTCTTATTTTTCCTAATGGCTGGAATACACTAGTCAACTTTCCTCCCGATTTGCAGTCTGAAGGAGTCGCCGCTGGTTTGCCAAAATTCTTAACCAGTCTTCACATTTTGGCCAGTCAGAGTTGACAGATTTGACATAAAATTGCGTAGTGCATAAGGGGCCGATTTTTTTGTTGTTGTTTCAGATTCAGAATATGATTTCATCCAGTTGGAGGATAAAATGTTAAAATGTTCAAATTCACGTAAATCACGTAAAAAATTTAAAATGTCTGTTACAGTGAATTGATTCAAAACTCAGTTTCAGCGATTCATTTGCTACACTTAAAGGGATAGTTCACCCAAAAATGAAAATTGTCATCATTTTCTCACCCTCATGTTGTTACAAACTTGTTTGAATTTCTTTCTTCTGATGAACACAAAAGAAGATATTTTGAAGGCCTCAATGACTTCCATAGTATGTAAATGCTACGGAAGTCAATGGGGCCCATCAACTGTTTGGTTACAGACATTTTTTTAAATATCTTCTTTTGTGTTCACCAGAAGAAAGAAATTCATAGGGTTGGAAGTGGAACAACTTGAGGGAGTAAATGATTTTTTGGGTGAACTATCCTTTTAAAATTGGGTTGAGGTCTCCATGTTGGATTTTTTGTAGAGATATATGTTTGGTTGTCTACTATATATTGTTGTATTAGTGTATAAATGAAAATGATTAAATATAGCCTATATTTTTGTGTTAATTAAGTGAAAAGCAAAACACTTTGTTTAAAGCCATTTCTGAGCAAATATTGCAATTCACATGTTGAATGTTGTCAAAAGATTGAACTATTTTAAGATGCACAGAATCCCCATGGTCATGGAAAACATGGAAGTTTTTACATTTTAAAATTGTGATTTCCAGGCCTGGAAATGTCATTGAAATTTAAAAAGTCATGGACATTTTTGTAATCACTGCTAAATGAATACATGACTAATACATGAACTAATTAATTAAAAAAATTGGCTAAAAATGGCTTTTTGTGAGAATAACCTTCAATCAAAAGTCATGAAAAAACCCCGGATAGCCAGTGCTATTCTGAACATAGACCCTATCGTGGATCCGGGGAAGCTTTGGTTTGGTTTGATTACAGAGTAATGTCAAACATGCGTGTGTTTGTGTGGAAGGTGCTGGCAGTTTGTCTGGAATAACTGCAGTGGTTCAGCTAATAGGAAAAGAGGGAGTGTCTACGACGAGCCAATACACACGCATGCCATTCCCCTGGATCAGAGCGGCTCATTCCAGACATGTCTCTCCAGAATTACCATTAGTGCACGGCCCTTCCTTCATTTAAAACACTTACACTCATTACACTCTCTTGAATTAGATGAAAAAGCAATCAATTGATCTTATCTCCATGGTAAATCAGTTCCCGGCGTCTGGCAAAACGGTACCAGCACAACCTCTCGATGTCAATGTAGATGTCTTGAGTTCCTGTGAAAAGTGATGAGCGTCTGGGAGTGTGGGTTGCTGATATTTGATCCTGAGAAACGGGTGGAGGAGTTCAGAGAATGACTGCGGACAAAGGTGTAGAGTGGCACTAGAGTCGTCGCTCCAGACAAGCTTTGTTGAGATAGTGTCAGGAAGACTACAATGAAAAGTAGAGGAGGGGCCAAAAAGACTGAGCAAATCCCAAACACCGCGTGTCATTGGTCTGCCAGATGCCCCCAGTGTGAAGAAAGTATCACCACCGGGGAAACTTGTAGTTGCTGCATTAACATGCATGTGCTCGTTTCTTCGCATTGTTTTTAAACACCCATCGTTTCCTGAGCTGAGCGAGGATCCAGGCAGAAGCATCCCTGGAAACGACTGTAGAACTTTTCCTGGCTTAAACCTCTAGGAAAACCCTTCAGTAATGTTCTCGCCTTCTCTTCCACAGTTACATTGCAAAGCCTTTGCAAAGATGGGGGATGACAAGCCTTTTGTGTGCAGCGCTCCTGGCTGTGGGCAGGTAAGTTCACTTTCACTTTGTCTTGGGTTTCAGGTGTGGGTGTTCTTTGCTGGTTCATTCTCCTCTGGTTATTGAAGAGTGTCGGCGTGCACGGCGTCGTCCTCACAGCTGTACGGTGGCAGCACGTCTGCCCGGCGTGTGTGTGGAGGGAGGTGTGCCTGCTGTACCGCTCTGTAAACATGTTATTTTTGTCACAGGGCCACACTGATGAAGCTGATAGTGCACTTGTGAAACTGCGTTAACGTCTCTTCCACTGTCTGACTCACTCACAAACTTAGCCAGTGACTAATCGCAGCTCAGTTATCTTCTACACTTGTCTGGTTTGAGTCAAAGTCCATGCAGACGCTATGATGCGATTATTGACTAATATGTAATACTATAAAAAATGTGTTTATGCTGGTGAAGTCGGTCAAGAGGTTTCTGTATTTTTTTCCAGTAAAAATATCAAATCATCCTTTAAAAAAAACAAAAAAAACGAAAATCTAAAAATTAAATAAGGAAATGTTAGAAAGTAAAGAAATGTTTTCAGAGAATGTGTGTGTATATATATATAAGAAATATTCTCTGAAAATAAGTTATAATGTCTTAAGCAATTTTGCTTCTCAAGTAATTATATTTTCCAGTGTAAGAAGTGAAAAACAATGTGGCCTTTGGAGGCTTGTGCTGCTTTGAGGGCATTGAAAACCGAAAGAGGAAGTGATCGAGACCCATCCTACTCAGTGAGACAGTGATGCTCATTTTGTGGTTTTGATCTGAATGTTCTCCTTCGCAGTTACGTAAAAAATAAAATCGTGAGAAATGTAGCATGGACCGAAAGGAGGCAATTTAACAGTTACACCTTGCCTCTCCAGGACTGAATGCAACAATGATCATTTAACCGTACCGTTAGCAGCATAATCTTGAGAATTGAGAGGAACAACATGAACTTGATGAATAATTTATGCAAGTTAGTTGTTTGCAGATGTTTCTTTCTATAATCCACAGGGACAATGACTGTTTGCTACTGCTTGCTCTGACCTAGCCAGACGTCCTTACGTAAAAGGGGCCTTAGATATTGGAACTATTGCTTATACTTTTTTTTTGCAGATGATTAAAACAGGTGAAAAAATCTCATAGACTTGTACTACCGTTCAAAAAATTGTGGTCGGTAAGATCTTTCAATGTTTTTGAAAGAAGTCTCTTATGCTCACCAAGGCTGCATTTTATTTGATAAAAAATAATCATATTTTGAAATATTACTACAATTTAAAATAACTGTTTTCTATTTGAATGTATTTTTTTAATGTAATTTATTCCTGTGATGGTAAAGCTGAATTTCCAGCATGATTACTCCAGTCTCACATGATTCTTCAGAAATCATTCTAATATGCTGATTTTCTGCCTCAGAAACATTTCTTATTATTATCAATGTTGAAAACATATATGCTGCTTAATGTTTTTGTGGAAACCGTGAAGAGTTTTTTTCAGGATTCTTTGATGAATTAGGATAAATGTTGTTACTGCCACTTTTGATCAATTTAATGGATAAAAGTATTGCCGACAATGCCGAGTAAAAGTATTAATTTCTTTAAAACAAAAAAACTGACCCCAAAGAGTTTTGAATGATAGTATACATTGAAGCATTCTGAAGCATCTTAGCTGTATCATGTTGTCAGGTGAAGACTTTTTTTTTTTAAACCATCAGCTCCGGTAAACCAAAACTAAAGGCCACATAAAAGGAAATAAAGGAGATTGGTTGAAATAGAGATCAGGTTGTGCACATCTGTCAGGCTTTGTTAAGATGCTTAGATGTGTGTAGCTGGATGAGGGGAGTGAGGATTGACTCTACTTGAGGTATTGTTCTTTTGTTGACGAGCAAACGCTGTTTGCGTCATACTGAAGTCTATAGGGGTTTAAGATTGTTTTGCTCCATCCCATTGAACCAGATTTTCACGTGACTCCACTGTTTTGTCAACCTATTACTGAAAAATAACACTGAGATTTGAGATTTTCAATGCTAGTGCATGTTTAAAGATATTTTCAGAGTGAATTAATCCTTTTTAATGTACTTTGATTATAATGTCTGATATTTTACACTCATTTCTTCTGTATCGCAATCATATGAATATAAAAAAACAATGTGCAACAAAATTAAAATTGGGTTTAACTAGAGGCTGCACTTTAGCTAGTGTTGGATCAGGCTTGGATCTGAACTCTGCTGATAGGTGGATCTCCAGGAACAGGATGGACACCACTGTTATAAATAATATGTCATGTAATATTACATTTACCACAGAAAAGCCATTTAATGACCATCAACTTGTTAGTCAGCTGGAAAAAATAAACACTAGAGAGGAGCATTTTGCTAAATATATGCACTATATTGCATATTCATTGTATTTTTACTTAACATCTTCTTCAATGTTTAAAGGGGTAGGGGTCCTATTATGCCCTTTTACGAAGTCTTGATTTTGTTTTTGGGGTGTATTAGAATATGTTTTCATGCTCGATTGTTACAAAAAAAACGCATTTATTTTTCACATTTTACATTATTACAGCTCCTCTCTCTCTCCCAAGTCTGGTTGAACGCGTCGTTTTGGATGAATGTCCCCTACCCGGGAAGAATCTCGTTGTAGTCCCTACCAGCCGTTTGTTGTAGTCCTTCAAAAGCGATTTCTGTAAAAGAAAATATCTCCCTTTGCATTGAACTTTGAGCGTCGTAACTTTGCAGATGTTGTTTATGCTCAAACAGCAACATTACACACTGATGACATTATAAAACGCTGTTATCGTGTAAATGAACGGCAAAAACTCATAAAAAGTTTTTAGTTGAAAATGGTGTTGTGTAAACAGCCCCTAAATCTGACTGTACTTTGCTGTTTGGTGATCATGAAACAATCAAACCACATTTACAGTATAATCTGCATATATTCTTCTCTGACAGATCACTTTTATAAAGCTTTTTAGTTTTCTTCTCATCATGCAAGCACGTTATCACTTCGAGAAAACCAATGAAAAACAGGAAAAAACAATATTTTATATATTTATATATATATTATATATTTATATATATTTACAGATGACTGTACTATTTACCGAAAATAATTCTGTGAACCATGGTCTGAAAAATTGTTTGGAAGGAGGTCTGGAAATTTGAGTCTGGAAAAGTATAGAATTTTGAAATGGAAAATGTGTAGGAACCCTGTACACCGATTATGACTTTTCATGGCAAATTCCGATAGCGGTTGCCTATTTTATTTGTTGTTTATTTGCTCTATAACAGGCTAAAATGGCCTTAAAAAACAACCATCTGTTGCCATTTGAAATTAGAGACAACCACTGCATTTTAATCACGATCCAAACAAAGATGCTACACACATGTAGCATGAGCAGTTGTTTTTGATTTAAATTAGATTGCATAATTTCAAGACTTAAAGTGAAAACAGAATGGTCTGACTTTAGCTTTGTGAAATATGTTACATAAGACACCTGCACAAAACAAAAAGAGACGAACTGAATGAAAATGCCATTTCACTATCTGACAGCAGGTGGCACTTATGGAAAAGAAGCGTTTCTTTACACAAAGCAGTTGCGCTTTTAAACACTACTTTACACGGATGGGAAGAGGAAAAGAAAATGCCATCGAACCTATTCTAAAGACAGTCAGTTCCCTTCAGAGATCCATTCATATAAACCCCCACCCCACCCTAATTTAATATTTATATTTTTCTACCCATATTTCGAGCATCGCGAACTGTGGTCTTGCTGTGCCTGGTATTTTCTCTGCTGCGCGTCTGCGCTCTCCTCTTTAAATCAGTCTTCAGCATGTCCCGTCTCTGGCCTGTGTTAACGTCCTGTTTACAGACTTCATTATAATTTCACATGAATGACATTTCGGGAAATGATTGCAATGCAGTTTGTGTGCAAGTCCAGAAAAGAGATCAGCCAAAATGAAACTAAAAACCAGCCGGTTGCCGATCGTGTTTTTGGCCGGTTGATTGGTGCATTTCTAGAAGAAAGGTCGCACCACAATAATTATTTACACTCGCACAAATACTCCCAAATAAATTTTGAGGTTGCATTTAATTTCAGGAGCATATCCAACCAAAATGGTCACAATTTTGAGCCTTAATAATGTAATCAAATGTAAAATAACACTGCATATAATCTCCACTGTGTAAATTAAATAAAGATTAAGCCTTATTAAAGTTACAAAAGTTATTCAGTCAAGAGCAGTGAAAGATTTTTGTTTTTTGATAAACATTAAAAACACAAACAGCAGCAGCAATATTAGGCTGCGGTCACTTTAATACATTATGCACTGATCCAATACTGATACTGTACTAATGCGTTGTCTTTCTCAACTGTTTACGTTCACTGAAGACATAACCTACCGTGTTTGCATGTCAAGATGGGCATGTTGGCATGATTTTTGTATTTTGTTCATTTAAGTGCAAGAAGACATGAAAGCGAAATCAATGTAGTATTCACGCGCTGTCTGAGACGTGTGCGCACACAAAACTTCTCACACAGCGCGCACAGGTTCTCTTTTGCATCTTCTTGCACTAAAATGTTTAATGTTGAACTTCTGTGAGTTTGCAGCTCTGGCCCAATCGGGACAGTGACAGTTCCGTCAACTGGCCAGAGCGTCTTATCGCTGATCCCTGCCCAGCAGTTTCGTTATTATTTTGTGCCTGTCCGAATTCGTTCAGAGTGCCTGTTTAAACACAGAAGGCAATGTGTGCTGTTCAGGTCTCATCTGGGCTCGCAAGCTATTAACACCCGGAGATGACGGCATAAATGACTGGTCATATTAGAGCATACGGCACTCGCATCGAACAAAGTTTACAAAGAGTGACTGTTTTGTCCAGGTGTTTTTCGCTGTTGTAACGAATTGGGAATGTTCCCAGACAGGAGATTTATGTGATGCACACAGCGGCTCTATCAGCGGCGTGTTTTCTTCGCTTGTTGTGCTGAACTGCAACACCAACACATGAGGAACACTTTTGTCAACAATAGATTTACATTCTAACAGATGATTGGAGGTGAGATGATAGTGGTCTATGCATTTTTTTGTTACCTTATTATATATGCCTAGTCAGATTTAATATTAAGAGTGGTGCAAGTGCGTGCTGAACCATGGGTGGTGAACGATACTGTTAATTTTTTTAATTTTATTGAGAACCGTTACACCCAATTTTTAGGTCAGTTAAATACTAAACTGTGCCGCTATGTAACGTAGTCATTCTTGACTATTAGAATAGCACTATTTGTTGCATTTCCCAATTGTCACATTCTTCTTTCTTAGAGGAAGATACAAAAGAGGAAGTATAAAAACTAAGTCATCTACTGCATGCAAGGCAATCTAGCTGCATTTCTTGTTTGTTGGTGTTAATTAGTTTCTCTGTTTGCTTCAGTCAAGCTGTTGTCCTTGTGTTGTCATCATGTGTTGTCCTTGCCAGAGTAACTCATTTAAGTTGAGGGAGAAGAAGCTATGAGACATGCAGTTGTTGTATTGGGGATGCTGGCACAGCTAAAAATAAGCTTCTGACACTTGACTGTGTTTCCACTTTGCGCTGTCACTGCTGAACTGTAGCCATGACATGGAGCCAGAAATAATCTGAAGAAGACTGGAGCCCAGTGAACATGGCTTGAGTCATGAAATCCACTCAGAAAGAGGAAAAGATAATCTTAGAGGCTCCACCTTGTTTTGCAAGGATTCAGTAGTGGAGGTGCTTCTTCAAACAACACTTAATTTCAGTAAATGTAAAAAAAAAAAAACCCACAAAATCCCTGAACTGAATCACGTTTAATCAGTGGAGTCCGATTCCAACTCTTATGAGCTGGTCCTTTTTAATGAATAAAACAAATACAGCACAATAAGTGTAGTCCAAATTCCTGAACAAATGACACTTTTTTTTCAGTCAATCAAAAACATGCATTGCAACCAGTGTAGTCGGAATCCCAAGCAAGCTATTTTGAGTCAGTTACTTTAATTGAATCAAAAACATGGGGCTCAAACAGTGTTGTCCAATTAGCAAGCATATATCTATTTTGAGCTGGTTCTTTTTAGTCAATCAAAAACAATACATCGCAACCAGTGTAGACCGATTCTTGTATTAATGACTCTTGAATCTTTTCTTTTTAATGAAACAAAAACATGCAGCGCAAACATTGTTGTCAGATTATTGCAGATTATGTCAGCAAATCATTATTTTAAGTCAAAAATATAAGAACACGTCCAAAGTATAGTCTGATATTCCCAGATTAATTGCTTTTATGAACCGGTTCTTTTTAGTGAATCAAAAACATACAGTTTACATCTTACTGTGTAAAATCTTATGTTGTACTTACTCCTGTTGTTCATATTATGTTATTAATGCAATTCATTTATTATATAGTTGACTATATGAAAATAGGCTGCTTCTATAAAGACTGAGCAAGGTGATCAAAATGACTGCATATCTTTTTCAAGAATTGTTGTAAATTTAGAACCAGAATCTTTACATTTCATTAGATTCATTAGATTCCCATTCCTACTTAGCACAGCTGTTTCACTGCTATCTGTCAGATCATAACATTTTAATTCATCATATTACAAAAAAGCATCTTTAATACTTGTGGAGATGGTTTCTTAATAAATATCCACGATTCACTAGCTGTGCATGTGCAGCACACGGTTTTAACATCAGAACAGCTGTTTTGTTAAATATAAGATAAATATAAAAGCACATTGGAGAATGCATGATTGCCTGTCATAAATGTTAATTGAATACATCTGTGTAGTTTGCTCAGCCCATGAGCTGTTGTGTCCTGCATGCATAACATCATGGCTCTGGCACTGGTGTTAAACCACAAAACTCCACCTTAGCATAAGCACTTTTGTCATTTGCACAATGTATTTTTGGACTGTTCGGAAAGACATTTTTATTGTTTGACAAAATGTGGAAGTTCAATACTTACAGTGTAATGCTTTAGCTGCACTTCTGAACGGAAGCGTAAAGAAACGTAAGCATTGTAAGCCTGGAGGTTGTATCAGGGTACAAAGGTCAGCTGTGAAACAGAAAGCCACTTCTACTGTAAGTCTTTGACACTGACACTGTATAGTTACATCCTATACCTCAGAGACATTGAGTAGGGCACGGGTTTGGTGAAAAACGATCATTATGGAGTCCTCTCTGGCCTACATTATCTGTTTCGAAAGACAAATCTTGTCAATGCCACTCCCTCTTCTTCCTTTGGAAGTGTGTCTCTGCCCTGAGGTCATGAAATGCTCCTCTTTCTTCTTCTGGCCAGATTTGTCTCGTAATCCATCTGTTCATCTGTGTCCCTCTGTAGAGGTTTACTAATGAGGACCACCTGGCTGTCCACAAACACAAACATCAAATGACGCTGAATTTTGGACCCGCCAGAACGGACTCAGTCATCATTGCAGGTACTTTGCACACAGACAATATGATAGATATATGTAGTGCCTCAAACATATTATTTTTAATGAAGTGTCGTGACGTGTAGCCAAGTATGGTGTGTATATTTTTACATATAATTATAGACTGGTTTCAGTATATAAAAAGAAATCACAAAAAATAATATATAAATGTATGTACAATTTAATGATATCATAGTTTAATTATATACAGTACAATATATATATATATTTCAATATTAAATGAACTGCTCTGAGTTAACTGCACGAGCATTTTACCCTTTCATTTGTCAAAAAATAAAAATAAAAGTTAGGTTTAACTTGAAGAAATTATAACAAAAATATATTTTTATTGCACAGTAGAGTCAACTTCTTCAAGTGATAATAATAATAATACTAATAATACATTTTGTTAAAACACACAGAAACTCAAAGGTCTTCATTACAATCTAACAAAATAAAAGTTCGGTCTAACTTGAAGAAATGATGAAAGAAATGTAATACTATTGCACAGTACAATGTACTTCTTAAAGTAATAATAATAATAGAAATACAATTTATTAAAACATATTTTTAAGGGATATTACACAAGTTTTCATACATGTTTTAATTTAAACAGTAAACTTAAATTTAAAATGTTCATTTAATTACATTTTGAAAAATGAACAAAATTGTTAATTTTATAAAAAGATTTGATAACCACCATACATTGAAGTCAATTTGTATTTGACCGTATAATGTTTTTATATTATATGGACTCCTGACAGTAAAATAACCTACAATAAACCTATATTAGTGTTAGTGACATGTAAAGGCCAAGTATGGTAACCCATACTCGGAATTTGTCCTCTCCATTTAACCCATCCGTGTTAGTGCACATACTTTTACTTTAGTAGTAATGAACACACACACACACACACACACACACACGGAGCAGTGGGCAGCCATTCACTGTGGCCCCCAGGGAGCGATTGGGGGTTAGGTGCCTTTCTCAAAGGCACCTCAATCATTTCCTTTTACCACTTTCTGGTTACCAGTCTGACTCTCTAACCATTAGGCCACGACCGCCCAATATAAAGGCCCAGTCATGAAAAGAAAAAAAGTGATGTACAGTGAAACCGACAGAATCTTAAAATGCACCGTCATACATTATGCATTATTATATTAATTAAATAAATATTTATAGTGATTATTAATTTGTCTTTGGTAGGTTCATGTCCCTACCTTCCATCCCCATATTTACATCCATGTTTTTATGTGTCACTACTTTTGTGGGAAATGGTAACCAGGAATGCTGGTTTCAGTGGCACTGACAAAACAAATAGTGTAGAGATTTAACAATGCAATTTGATATCATTACTTTTTAGCTATTGAGTGAAGCTAAATCCCCTTAAGCTAGTAGTTTTAAGGGGGGAAATTTCTCAATGTGTTTTTTTTTTTGTCTTGTTAAACCTTTGGGAAAAAACCACACAAATGTAATAACCTTGAACTCTCACAGATTTATCATGTTAAATCGTAATCAGATTTGGTTTGTACTGCTGCGTAGAGCCATTTAGCTGCACGGCAGAGTTTATATTGTCCATGTCCTGCTTAAGGAAACAATGAGATCTCTCGGTTTCTCACTCTCTATCCCAGACCAGACGCCGACTCCCACTCGTTTCCTGAAAAACTGTGAAGAGGTGGGCCTTTTCAATGAGCTGGCCGGCTCGTTCGAGCAGGAGTTCCCTAAAGGCCAGGAAGATGAGGACAAGAGGGCCAAGAACCCGGTGAGCTGCGGGACTGGGTGGAGGGATTCAGTCATACAGTCATACGTGCTCCAAACATGAGGAGCTCTGGCTGCCTGCTGCCAGAACTCAGATTTATGGACTGCAGAGTTGCCTATCAGTTCTCGTGTAACACTGTCTCGTCTAGCCCTCTCTCCATCTATCACATTCTTCATCTCTCTTTCTTTTTTGCATGTAGTTGCCGGCTCCTAATTCGGGAGCACTAGACATGAGTTTGCAGACGCCTTCAGACGTTAAGGTGAAGGAGGAGGACCCCGTGGAGGTGGACTCCTCTCCGCCTGACAGTCCTGACTCCTTCTCCAGCATGTCAGATAGCAGCAGAGAGCCCATAGGCAGAGGACAGGTACAGGCTTTATGCAAACCAAACTGTGCTAGAACAGATACAGTAAAGCCCAAAAGTCTGAGACCACACTGGATATCTGCAATTCAAAATGGCTAGGTCACTAATCAGGTACATTTGTGACATTGGTCATGTGAATCTTTGTACATTGAAGCACAAGATGCTCTTTGGATTGTTTTCAAATCATGCTGGAGAACATGATCCTAGGTTTTACACAAACTTGTGGGGTTTATGCAGCTCAACACTGCTGTCAATAAAGCAAAAGGAGTTATTTCTGAAATTCATGTACATTTTTTAATTGAAACATTCACTTCTAACATTTCACTTTTCACTTCTATGTCAAAATAGTATTTGTGATAATACATTTAAAAAAAGTTAATAATTAAATGTAATTATTTTTATTTTTATTTTTTAATTATTAATTATAAATGTATTTGTATCATTATATTTAATCATTTATATAATTATCCAAATAATGTATTTCATTTATTAAAGTACAATACATTTAAAATAAAATTAAAACTAAAGCATTATCACTAGTCTTTTTGTAGAATACATAGAATATACAAAATTATAAATAGTTAATAGTAACGTATGCTATCACACATTTGCATTTCAAGTGGCCACTGAGCTGTGGAGACCATAATTATACATTTCACTAAACTATGTATTTGGCATTGGATTAACTAGTTGTGTTGCATCACTAAACAAACAATCATGACTGGGTGATATCCATTTTGGAAGTAAACACTGTTGCTTTTGAATTAAATGCTATAAGATGTTTGTGTTTAGCTGGCTGATTATCTACCTTTCAGGATTCTCCTCCAAAGCCTGCCTTCAGTTCGGCTCCCACCCCTGCCATAGTGCGTCCTGGCTCTCTCCCCCTGCACCTGGGTTATGACGGCCTACAGCCCACCATGCCCTCTCCTACCTCCGTCATCACACATACCCCACCATCCAACCGCACACTGGGGTAAGAGAACAGCCACAGCGTATCAATGAGGAGTCGTTGCTTTGGGCCGTCAGCTTTATTCTCTATGACTCATTTCTATATGACTCACTGTGCTGCTTTAAGTTGGTGTGGTAGTAATTCTTAGGAAAATGTGGGCAGCTGGCTCATTTATGATGCCATACTTGACGTCCCAAGAATGTTTGGTCAAATAGTCGACAGGAAGAGAGCAAAACTTGCCTAGAGAACATTACCAATCCAAAGACTATATTGAAGCCAATGAACCTTCCTTGGAAATCAGACGACTAAAGTTGGCTTTACAATATCAGGGCTCGACAATAAGGACTGCCCGATGGCCCGGTGCCAGTGTGAACGACACTCGGGACAGTTGACGGAACTGTCACTTGCCCGATCGGGTCAGTGCTATAGGGGTGTGCATTATATATCGTCTATGATATCGCAATTGTTGATTTAACGATCTGACATTATCGAGTATGTCCCTCACTTTACAAAAAACAAACAAAAACACACCCATTGAGGGCACGCATACACTACGTGATGTAGTCTAGCAGATTAGACTAGCGCGCAAGCGATTTAGAGTGTATGCTTTTACTGTGTGATTTAGTCTATTTAAAATGCATGTAAAATATGCCCCCAGATTCAAGATAAGGAGCAAAAATTGCCTTGTATGTGTTTTATATTTATATAATTTAATATAGGTAACCAATATTACACGAAAAGCGCCGTTTTTCTCCAAATATCAGCATGATTATAAATGTGACTTGTTTTTATGCAACGTACAAGTTAATATTAAGTCTCTTACATTTTAAACATCAAATCGCCTGTTTCGCTCTATTCCGCCAATGAAAATAGTTCCAAACAAAGTCCACACATTGTTTTGCTTCTCTGAGAAACACACGACGGTGTATCTTTACTGAATGAATCAGCTTTTTGAACAAATCAGCTGAATCAATAATTCAATGACTCACTCATTAAGACAGTAAAATGCTTCCTTCCTGAATGAATCAGCCGTTTGAATGAATCGATTGAATCTCAATGACTCACTCATTAATAGTGACTTGCTGTCACCACCTGGCGGGTTTAATTTCACATTTAAAGTACAGTATCTTTTTTTTTTTTTTTACTAATTTCAAATAACAGTATTTAACGTTTTATATTTTCAACATTTCAAAACATTATTTATGCATCTTTAACTGCTCTTCACTTATTGACTTTAATAAAGGTTGATCTATAGTTATATAAATATACATTAGAGTTCCATTTTCTTTTCCTTTACTTTTTGTTGTTGGGGCAAGTAAAAACAAAGAAAAAATCCTTAGCGTTGACCCCTGAATATGCAATCAAACTTAAAACAAATAAGGAAAATCCAGCCTATACAACAGTTTTTTTTCAAGTCAGCATTCAATAAAATGTGAAAGAAAGCCAAGTTACATCCGTCCATTTGGTCTACACATTAAAACCCATCTGGAGAATCTGAAAGTGGATTTAAACAATTTGGAAAATACACATTTTTGCAGAATTTCAAAAAATCTGGATTTAGCAAGAATCCAAAAGTCCAAAACTCATCCGAATGATTATAAACCAGCAATTTTTTGGACATAAGAGCAATGTTCCCACAACATACCCTGATATACATAGATAGATCTAAATCTGGAAATCAGGTGGCAGCAGCTTTACAACAAATCAACTGTGTCAGTGTATACGCATCCCTGACCAAAGTTCAGTTTTCACTGCAGAGGCAAATGCTCTATTATTGGCATTGAATGAGAGAAAAAAAAGAGCAGAACTTCAGTTTGTGCATTGATTTGGTTTTGCTGCTTGTGCAATCTGGAAATTTCTCTACTTCTCTTTCAGGTCTCCCACAGTGCCGTACCCAATGATGATGCTTCCCAATGGTCAAACTGTTCCTGTGCTTCCAGGTCCTATGCAGATGCCCTCTGTAATATCTGTAAGTTTGAAGTGTATTTACTAGTACGGAATCCCCTGATTTACTATAATTCATTTGAACTTATACTGTAATCAGAAAAAGTATAAGGCAGGGGTGTCCAAACTCTGTCCTGGAGGGTCACTGTCCTGCAGAGTTTAGCTCCAACTTGCCTCAACAAACCTACCTGGATGTTTCTGGTATGAGACCTTGATTAGCTGGTTCAGGTGTGCTGAACTCTGCAGGACAGTGGTCCTCCAGAAGCAGGATTGGACACTCCTGGTATAAGTAGATGGACAACTCGAAGGAAAAGAATTGGAGAGACTGTAAAGGCCCGTTCACACCAAGAACGGTAACTATAATGATAACTATATTTGCATCCACACCAATGCATGATATCATTCTGTTTATTCTAAGCATGTGCTGCAGTTTTGTCGTCTGCCACTTTCAATGCTCAAGCTCTTTTAAAACAGGATGGATTCTGATTGGCTGTCAGTTTTTATCTTTCATCAGCTGGGAAACAAATCGTTCCGAAAGTGTTTCCAATGATATCGTCTCTATGTGCCATTATTGTTAAAGTTAACAATACACGGTGTGGATTAGTGTGGCCATTCTTTTACATTGAGAATTGAGATTTGTTTTTCTTTATCATTCTAGTTGTATATCTTTATCATTATAGTTATCATCATTGGTGTGAACGGGCCTTAACAATCAACTTTTTGTTTACTGTAAAACTGTTTTTTAAACTGGGGTCTGCAAAATGGTGCTGGGGGTCTGTGGAAAATTCAGTGTTGTTATTGTTAATTGAAACTAAGGCTGTTTCTCAATTCCAAGAACGGACTTGCGTTCTCGTGGAGGCCGGTCTTGCCAGGCTACTTTGAAAGAACGAACTCGGAAGGACGCGAGGACACAGAACGCATCCTTGTGAGAATTGAGATGTGCTGTGATCTTGTTGCTCAACTGACCGTCCCAGCATATTATAAGTAGCAGCCAATGCACTATAAATACAACATAACATCACAAACAAATCTCATAAACTATTAAAATATTTATTTCATGTTATTATAGACATTTATTTTCATATAATTTAATATCGTTTTATTTTACCGCATGTTTGTGAAAACGAGCATATATGTTTAATGTTATTTATGCTTTGTCAATGTTAAGATATTTTTTAATACGCCAATTAAAATACTGTAGGCTTTCTCCAGGTCTTTATCACTTTCTTAAAATGAAGCAAAACAAAATGATAAATGTTTACTTTCACGAGACGTCTTGTATTTGCGAGCTTGAAGCGAGAATCTCTTAAGTGAGAATGAGAAGTTTAAAGCTTATAGGCTTCTGTATGTCGTCGATTCTCTCAAGTCTGCATTCGATGCAACCTCGCTATCAAAAACACATCCCGGTACTTGAATGCGTCTTCTGTACTTGCGTTCTGGAGTATTGGAATTAAACTTCGACGGTTGATGATGGCGTAGTATAAGAACACAAGGATGCAAGATCGCTTAAGAACACATATTGAGAAACGGCCTAAAACTATTAAAACATGTTTTTGTTAATTGAAATAAAATGAAATATAAATATTAGATAAAAACAACTTGTACTTAAAAAACGTGAACAAAAATTAAGAAAACTGAAATAAAATAAGTTTAAGTTAACAAAAACTAATAAAAATGACAAAGCATGTTACAAATTTACTAAAAACTACCCTAAAAATAAAACAAAATATAAAAAAAGCTAATTTAAAAATATTAATACATACTCTAATAGTATATAAATAATACTAAACCAAAAACTTCCGAGTAACAGAAAGTGCATTTTATAAATAAATTATTGATCATTATTTTGAATTCTTTTGAATCAATGTCTATATTTTCCAGGTAACATTTGAATAACTTATTTTGACTTTAGTACAATAACAATATTAATATCCGTTATTTAATTTTTAAACAAAAGGTTGTCTTTATAATATCATATTATGTATTTAATGTTAATATCATATTAATACTATTTTTCTCACTCTTAAAATATACTGTAGCTGCCTTTTTATATTTTGAGAAAGGGATCATTTGCAAGAGAATCATCATATTTAGAGGTCCTTAAAACACTTTCTTTCAGCATATTTTGAGTTAAAGGAGCAAACTTTGTTCTGATTAGAAATATATTATTGAAATGTAATCCTGACAAATAGTTTTGGAGATTTCAGTCCTTTGATCTCATTTAAGTATAGGAATAAAATGGTACAGGGTACAGGAACTGTACCTTTATACCCATTACCTATATATAAAATAGCTGCTCTGGTCCATTACCAAGATGGACACCAACTGAATTGACTTGCCTTAAAGGGACTTTGCTGTGATTCAATTTTAAAGGCCAAGTGTGTTTTTTGTCTCATGCAACCCCCTTGTTTCAGCACAGTGCCACTTGTAGCTCAAAAATTATTCACTTCTATTTCAATATGATGTTTCTGTGAGCTGTTATTTTTGATCTCTGGAGTAATTTATAATATGCCTCATAATATGTTTTGCGTTTGGCTCTGTGGTGTAGCTGGCGAGGCCCCTGTGTATGGTGCCTAACATTCCAGGAATTCCCGGCCCTCCACTAGGGGGCAGCAGCAGCGGCTCGTCTTCACCCTCCGGTTATAACCCCCACACTGAGGCAAAGATGGTGAGGGCAAGCTTTTTTTCTTTCTTTGCCAGCCTGTGGATCCTTATGCAAAACGCTCAGATACATAGCTTTCTCTTAGTGTTCCTATGTTGAAAGTCTTAATCCAGCACATCACATGGGTGATAGTTTTCACAACAAACAAGCACTGACTGTTGGAACTAAGCAGCTCTGTCATTAACAGTCTTTATTTCAAATACATTTTTGATTGTTATACCACGGGCTGTTTAAATACTCGATTCTGATTGGCTGGAAGGTGTGCAGTAAAACCGTTTAATGCACAGGTAGTTCCAGTCAGTTTGATTACAGTTCGAAATTAATCCGCTACTATAAACATTGGTAACCATAGTAACAGAGTTACACTTGCAAAAGAGTGAGAGAGAGAGACACATATGAAAACGTTAGGTAGGCTCAGAGCCATAGAGAGAAAGAGTTGCGACGTTCTTTGATCGCTCGCGATGGCTGTCACGTGGTTCATGTAAACCCCAATAGTTCCAAAACATACGCGGGCTGTCATGTTCTTCTATGGGACAGACAGCAGCGATTGCATTATTGACCGGTAAATATAAAATAAAACACACACCCAAGTACTTTTTCAGCTGTTACTGCATTATTGCATTTTGTTAATGTCAGTTATGCATTTGGAGAGGCAGGGTGACAGCGAAATAGCCTACTACTGTATATTACTTAGATACGTTTTAGGCTTTTTTTTTTTTTTTGAGGGAAAAGACAGAGCTAGATAAGATCGAAGACGACAAAGATGAGGTCAATACGAAAAAGACAACTAAATGGGCAGTTAACACTTTCAGTGACTTGTTGCGCCAAACACAGTACAATTGTGATTTCGAGACCTAACGTTACTCTGCTTCTCTTTTAAATGAGACATTTCGGGAGTTTTATTCCTCTGTTCAGTCTACCGCTGGACGCGAATACAGTGTTGCAAGTTTGATGCGTCTCAGAGCAGGTATAAACCGTCACATTACAAAATACAACATCATAAGGGATAAAGACTTCAAGTCAAGCAATGCCGTCTTTAAATCAGTTTTAAAGCGCTACAGGAAAAATGGAAAAGACACCAGCGTTCATCATCCGCGTAAGAAAAGTTTGGTTTGACATACATCTAATTCATTTAAATAAATGACATGATTAGTTCAAATAAAGCTTGCCTTGTCACTGTCAGTGTTGCCTATCATTCATAAATAATTTTAATAAATCCATGAATCATTAAGTTATAGGCCTATGCTTAAGCAACGAGGGGACTGTAGACTTTAAAGAAGAGACGCTCATAGGTAACTCGCGCACGCATCTCTCTCTCTCTCTCTCTCTCTCTCTCTCTCTCTCTTTCTTCTCTTTCAGTTCTATGTCTCTCTCTCTTAATAATGAATTTAAATAAATGTGATAATTCATTCAAATAAAAGCAATCCGATGGCTCTACTTTATTTAAAGCGGACGGAGTGCTAGAACTAACGAGCCGTAACTTAAGAAAATAACCGTCATTTTTACACGTCTGTTAAAAAATTACATTGTAAACATCAGTTACAGCTTTAACTTAATATTAACTTGGCAAATAACCGAGGTATAAGCGGGATAATCCACGGCTAGCCATGCATTAAAGGATTTTAATGCACGACGTAGAGGCAACCTTCTTCGCCTCTACGTCGTGCATTAAAATCCTTTAATGCATGGCTAGCCGTGGATTATCCCTTACTTATCCAGGGATATGCAAAAAATGCATATTTTCATAACAGACTAGTTGGTGGGTGGTTTGAAGGTTAGTCGGTCTACATAATTAGGCTGATTTAGCGTCCACCAGATACGTTTCTTAACACATTCACTTAAGATTTGGAGAGAAAGAAAATCTACACGACCACCCTGAACCATAGAAATAAAATGCAGAAGTTTACACGTGTTTATTTCCCTTCTGTCACATGGTTTCTCTCATCAGTGCTTGATGAGTTGTGGTTCAGTTTTATGAAATGACTTTTCTTGCCATTCCACATGAAAGAGAAATAAAATTGAGCGTTTCGGCTGTAACAGCTGTCTATAATTAGACAGAATGCCATCTTGTGCCACATTACCATGGTGTGTTTGTTGTTATTCTCAGAGGTTGAAGGCAGCATTATCTCAGCAGATGCCCGCTGCTCAGGGTTGTCTTGGTGTGGCGATGGGGTCCAGTGCGATGGTACCTCAGAGGGTTGAGCAAAGCCAGCTGCTGGTCCAGCATCCAGACGCCCCATCCCCTGCTCAGCCACAGGTATAGGACGTTTTCACGCTCGAATTGTCTGAACTGCAAACATTATGGACCCTATTTTAACCATCTAAGCGCATGGTCTAAAGCGCACGGCGCAAGTGCATTTAGGGCGTGTCTAAATCCACTTTTGCTCACTGTGCCCGGCGCATGGTCTAAAAGGGTTGTCCCTATTCTCTTAATGAGTAATGGGTGTGTTTTGGGCTTTATGTACAATAAACCAATCAGAGTCTCATCTCCCGTTCCCTTTAAATGCCAGTTGCGCTCCCGCCATGGCAGATTCGCTATTTACATGACGGAATTTGATAGTGGAAAGACTGAACGCGTCTCCAGAGGTTAAAGCTCGCGAGCAGACCATCTACGGGACATGCCGGATTCCACCATATCTTTATGTACACAATAATAATCTTTTACATTGTAATCCTTTTATATTTTATATTTGACATGTTTGTGTGCTGTTGTGCATCCCTGTGTGTTTAATAAGCGTACGCGGGTTGTGGACCCTCCTATTAGTGGACATTACTAACGCGCTCTTTAAATAACAAAACAAATATTGCGCCATTGACTTTAGACCAGGTTTCAGTTGGTCAATGGCACAGTCTATTTCAGTTGCCTCAAAATAGCAACGCGCCATCAATGCGCCTGAACACACCTCGTTTTCAGACAAATGCATTTGCTATTTAAACTACGTGGCGCAGGACGTGAAAATAACTGCGTCAGGCTGTAACTAGCAAAAAACACTCGCGTCGCGCCTGGTTTTTACAAAAAAGCTTTGTAGCTATTTTATTTATTTAGCTATTCGAAAATACAAAAATATTCAATAAATTAAATTATTAAATGATAAATGCTAAGTAAATAATACATTAAAACATTAGCATGTAGCCTTCAAATGCTTTTCAGTAAATATTGCATTAAAAAGATGAAATGAAAAGTTAGTAATAAAATAAAAAACAAAGAAACTCATTACAGGTAACAAAACAAGTGGCGGGTCTATTGACAAGACTGAATGCACAGATCTATTTTGTCATTTCCTTTTTTTTTTTTTGTCCCGTCCACTGCTATGGTTATTACTGTCAATCGTCAAAATTTCAGATTCAGTCCGGCATTTTAACATGGTTGTCACTCATGAAAAATAAATATTTTATTCATATTATTAATGGGTTATACACAGAAACTGAGTGAAGTTATATACAGAAACCGTGCAATCAACACTGCAAAAACACGTAAATTAAATTTCTTTCACATACCCCTTTCTCACCAGGATGGTTCGCGCTTTGAAGCCAGAACCTGTTCTTGACCAGGCGAACCGGCCACATGTTTCCACAGACTTGAAGAACGAATGGTGCTGTTTACCTGACTATAACCAGTTTAAATTAAACAGTGTGCGTCCTGGTGTTTGTGCAGACAGTGCGGCACTTCTGTTTTGCTGTTGTTCACAGTATTGGGCGTGATTTTAGCGTACCGGCAGCTAGCATTAAATCCCGTTCCTCTCATATGTCCTTTTTGGAGATGTATTGAAACTGAAACCATTGATTCACTCACGCTCTCGCATGATGAGTCTCTCTCGCACGCACAGTTTTATATATTTAGACATAAAGAGCAACGTTGCATACATATTTAATAACGTTGCATGTTTAGAAATGTTGTGCAACGTTATTAAATTGCTCAGCGAGACTGCCATAGACGGCGACAGCATTTCTCCACGCTCTGCTCCCCGGCTCCATTCGAGACCAGCAAGTTTTTAGGGCTGGAGTTCTTTCAAAACAATCTTTCTGGCTAGGAGCCCCCTTTTCTGCAGTGGAAATGCACGGAACAGTTTGAGAACGGACACAGGCTGGGAACCCACCCTGGAACGGTGTCGGTGGAAAAGGAATAAGGGAGTGCTTGCACAAATATTCACGGGAGCGTTTGAAAGCAGAGCCTCATGTTTGTCAGGGAGCATCTTTCACTTTGCTGTGGCATTAAGCAGTAAACATCTCTGTTTACTCTGTCCTGCTGTGTTCAGGTGTCACCCGCTCAGCCCACAGGGGGTCGCAGGCGGAGGACGACTGATGACGACCCTGATGAGAGAAGGCAGCGCTTCCTTGAGCGGAACCGAGCAGCAGCTTCTCGTTGCAGACAGAAACGCAAGGTCTGGGTCAACTCCCTGGAGAAGAAGGCTGAGGAGCTCACATCCATGAACGTCTCGCTGTCGGTTAGTGTGCAAGAAAAACTCTTTGACTTGTAATTTGATCTAAAATCAGGACTGTATGAACTGAAATGAACTATGATATTTCAGGACTGAAATATTGCTTATAGCAACTTGAAAAATGTGTTAGAAGTGGTTCCTCCATGTTCTTCAAAATGTATGCAATTCATGGAGTACCTACATTTTCTTATACAAGATGCATGCAACCAGAATATACTGTGTGGGATACCATATCCCACAATGCAATGCGTTTGTCTTTAACTTCTATTTAAAGAGTCAAGACTGAACCAAAATCAATGCCAACTGTGATATTTTGTAATCTCTTTAAAGGGATACTCCACCCAAAAATGAAAATTCTGTCATCCTTTACTCACCCTCATGTTGTTGCAAACCTGTATGAGTTTCTTTCTTCTGCTGAACACAAAGGAAGATATTTTGAAGAACGATTGGAACCAAACGGTTATTTGGCACCATTGACTTCCATAGTAGAAAAAAAAAATACTATGGAAGTCAATGGTGCCAAAGTTCCAATCATTCTTCAAAATATCTTCCTTTGTGTTCAGCAGAAGAAAGAAACTCATACAGGTTTGCAACAACTTGAGGGTGAGTAAAGGATGACAGAATTTTCATTTTTGGGTGGAGTATCCCTTTAAGTGGAAAAGTTAACATAAGATAAAGTTAGAGTTAAAAGATACATTTTGTTTGCACAAAATTGCAACAAAAAAAAGAAGCAAACATTTATTTACCAGATAAATGTATCTCACTTAATGTAAATAGGTTATGAGGTTATGATGAGGTTATACTGTTTTACATACTGTTTTAAAAAAATATTTTTAATTTCTTTTATATCTTTGCATATACTGCACTATTGCTAGTATCTCATTCCAAACATAGCCTATTTTATTATATTATTATTATTATTTACAATTATTATTATTATTGCTATTATTATAATAAAATAATAATAACATTATTATTAATATATTTTATTTGATAATAATTTAATATTTTTATTTATGTGTAAGTATGCATTTATTTATTATATTGTTTTTGTTGGTTTTATTTTATTATATTTATTATACATATTTCAAATTGACCATCATTGATAATATTAGCAACAGCAAAAATGTCAATATTATTATTTTATTTTTATTTATTATAAAAGAAAATATTTATTTATTATATTGTTTTCTCATTACTTAATTTTTTTTATTATTTATACTATTTTTGATTGCTTTTGTTGTGTGCATTGATGGTTTGGCATTGTTGGATGTACTTTGAAATTGAGTAGATACAAATGTGTTTGCAAATGTTCACACTTTGTTTTCACTTATTTGTATGTGTACAAGAATGAGGTGTCTCATCTGCGAAACGAAGTTGCTCATCTAAAGCAGTTGCTGTTAGCTCATAAAGACTGCCCTGTCACCAACCTCCAGAAGAAAGCCGCCTACTTGGGTAAGTGGAGCTTGAGTTGTGGTTCTTTCACTTGCATCTCCATGATCCAATCTTCTTTTCACTTCTTTTTTTTTTTGTCTCTCAGGAGAGGAACACATGAAAGAGACGTCTGAGCCCACGGGCTCCCCGGCACCGGTCATTCAGCACAGCTCTCTGGCCCACAGCCCCTCGTCTACAGTAGGGCCCAATGGCCTGAGCTCCCGTGCTGCGGCTGAGGCGGTGGCCATGTCGGTGCTGGCAGGGATGGGCAGCCAGCGAGGGGAGGGCGGTGGGCCATCGCATGTCATCATGGCCACACAGTCCCACCCGTCCAGCAGATGATGAGAGCAGCTAACAGTCTGCCTGGGACTCTCCGCATCCCGGGAGAGGGGGCAGATCTGTACACATATAGAGTGAGACGGAAGGAGATTGTTGTTCACTATGCCATAGACTATGGGGGCTGGACTCCAAACTGTGTTCTCCTTTGCATCCTCTGTAACTCTTGCTCCTTCCTTCAACTTCCTCCTGCTCCTCCACTGGCTGTAGGACTGCAAAGCACTTCCTGTCATTAAACGTATCCCCATAGACATATGCACATACACACGCTGCAATAAAGACATTGCCTGAATTGTGACGGTGCACTCGGTGTATGTGTACATGTGCTGTATTGCACATTAATTCACACACATGCAGGCTGCGTCTCAAATTTGTGACGATGCAATACTTTATATATTCTTATATATATGTATTAGTATGTGTGTGTGTTTGAGAGAAACATGACGATTTAATGTTCTGTACGATCTTTTACCTTGCAATTTTAGAGTTTTTTTTTAGTTTTCAAGTGGCCACCCCCCTCATCTGACCCTCGCTCATCTTACCTCATTTTTAACCTGTTATATACGTTTATAATCGACGTGTGCATGTGTGCTTCTTGTGTGGGTGTACAGTGATGTACAACGGAAAATAGCAGTTTGTGAAGGACTGATACACTAAGACTGCCTTGTTAGCATGCAATCTTTTTGCTATATATAAACTGTATTGTATTGGCACATTGCATTCAGTTTGGGCTACAGAACCTCATAGTTGTCGTTTGTTTGGTCCTATCTTTGTTTTCTTGTGTACGACAAACTCGCAAACCGCAAATAGCATACTGTCCGAGGTCATGTCCCAGGACCCTTGCGCACAGTCCAGTGTCTTGAGAAATCGATGTCTTTCCAAAGTTAGCCATTTTCTTTCCCTGTGATCACAATGTTTTAAATTCAACTTTAGATTGAGTTAAGTTGGCCATAGAAAAAAACAACAACATAATAATGAGATAAAAAGTCACATTTATGGCGTAAAAGTCCTAATTATAACAAAAACTCGTAATAATGAGATGAAAATGTACAATTCGTTTAAATTTATGAGACAAGTCATAATTATGACATAAAAAGTAGAACTTGTGATAATTTAGAATTTTGTCACAATTTTGATGTTTTTGTCAGAATTTTGACCTCCCGTTCAGTCACTTTCACGATTACCAGACTGTTAAAGTTGATATCCCGATACTTTGTAACACTATTTGTTTCTCTGCTCCCTTATCCACTCATAAACATACACAGTCCCTGATAAAAAAATTAAAGAGACAAGGATTCTGCCTTATGAATCACACGAGTGCCTCTTTTTCGCTCCATGTCGCTGACCCGACTGGCCACCTATCGCATTCAGGCATCTGTCAGGAGATGTTAAAAGCTTTATCTGAATCATCAGTCCTGAGGTAATGAATTAACAATAATGCCTTTAAACAGCCAGAGAGCACTGCCCTTCATTTTGAGCATATTCTATACTGCCACCTGGATGTAATAGGGTGCTATTACAGCAAACTAGAAGGCTGCAGGGATCACAGAGTATCCAAATCTACTGTTGTTTGAATGGTTTTACCTGTACCTGATGTTTATCCAAACACATGGTCTTGTCTTTTTTACACAGTGTCAGACACTTTCAAAATTAAGGCAGCGTATAAACAAGGGACTAAGATGTACTGTTGTTGCTCAGTATATGTAACTTGAATTCTCATTCATTTTTTCGAATGCTGCATTTACACAATATCAGTCCAAAATGTATATAGGCCTGTCAGAATGCACTAAAAAAAACCATTTTGGGTTATTTTTCTGTTTGGTGTCTCAGAGATTGTCAGGTTTTCTTTCAAACAGCATATCAAACTTACCACTTGACCGATATCTCATGAATGACTCCTGGTTTAAGTGTTGATTTCTCCTGGCTTTTCTGTTATATTATGTGCTGGCACTGTAATCGTTCAGCAGAACCCATATAGAGGATTGTTGACCTGAAATGAGCAGAATGGAGAATTTTTAGCTTCACTGGCACTTTTTTTATTTTTATTTTTTAAGATTTTGTTTTTTCATTGTATGCTGCCAGGACTATAGAAATATCTATAATAAATCTTTTTTTGTGTGTGTTGTAAGATGTAAAAGTAGAAATTCTTTTGTAGACTTTCTTTTCTCATTCTCTTTTTGTTCTTCTAACACTTTGAACTCAAATATTTGTAGTTATTTTTATTTGCAAAGATTAATAAGGATGCCTTGAGACGGTCCCTGACTGATTCCCCCCTCTCACTTTAATCACTTTAAAGTTATACCAGATTTCTGTCTTGATGGACTTAATGATCCATTATTCCAACAAAATGCACAAATAATTTATTATGGAATTATTTCATGCAAGTACAATTGAATGCAGTTTCCCTGAGACTGAACAAAACAAAAGTCATTTCGAATAGGATGATCTTATAGGCTAAAGAAACAATTATAAATGGTTGTTTAAGAGTATGTCTTTTATGGGAAATAGCCTCACTCCAAGTTGGACTGATAGTTTTTAAAATTGTCCCTTGTAATGTACATATGTGTACCATATATATTTACTATTTTTCATGCATGTTGAAGTGAAATACTCTGAACACAGTGCTGCAGTTTTGATTAAACAACAACAAAAAAATTGTCTTTAGTCTTATTTAGGCACCACGAAAGATTATACATACTTAACATGGTTTATATAATTCTCTATATAATTTTGTTTCAATATAATAGAATTGGGCAGTGTTGCACTAAACTAAAAAGTCCTTTAATTATTTTGAGCCTTCCATTTTATTTAAAGGCTACAAAACGTTTGGAAGTGTGACTAATACTATATATTTATACATTATATATTTATGGTTTATTTATTAAAAATAAATGCATAAATAGGCAAATATAAAAAAAGATATATTTAGGCAATAACAAGTAGGCTAATGTTTCTTATGCACCAGTTTTTGATGCACAATGGTGGTACAATGATACAGTAATCTATGAATTGTAATACCATAGTACCCTACTGCTGAATGATTTCCATATTCAAATATTTATATATAATATAATAGCTATATTTATATTGTTCTAAAGAATACCATAGTACATGTTCAAAAATCATGTCAGTATCACATCTTCTGTCGTTTTGTCGCTAGAGGGCGCATGCGTGTCGTCTCGAGGTGTGTGTGTGTGTGTGTTTGGGGGTGTCGTTGATCTCACACACAGGAGGTAAACGCGATCACGTGACCGCACAGTGCAGTTGGTGTTAGTGAGTTCTCACAGCATGGCGGAAGGAGTAGTTGTCCGGATGGATTGTTACTCACCTTTTAATTCATGTCTTCTGTCTTGACGGGAGGATTTGGGGTTTTCATAACGCATTTCTTCACACTTAAAACAACTTAAGCGTATTCTCACCACGATGGCAGACCGCGGTTTGGATTTGGCAGCTCTACCGAAAGAGGTTAGAGAGCAGTTGGCGGAGTTGGAGCTCGAGCTGTCTGAAGGTAAGAGATGGAGTTATCACCTTAACCTTAATAATGTTTAATAATATTAACCTACTATTTAAATCCCAAGGTCGTATGGCGCTAAAGAGTCACATATATACTCTCAAGCAGACAGTGTCTAACGTTACTGCTTTGTGTTGGTGTTTGAAGGTCCTCTGTTTCCCCTCAGAGAATTTTTGAAAGAGGCTGTGTTTTAAAAACTTGCGAGCTGTCTACCTAGACAGAATGTCTGGATGCCTAAAATGCAGTTTCTAACGCATCTGATGCCCAGACATGCTGTCTAGGTAGACAGCTCGCTAGGTTTCTAGACACCGCCAGAGTGTGTTGGAAGAAATTATGATTTTCCACCATCAAATATGCTTTTAATCTCGTGTAAATGAAAGAACCGAACGTGATTGAGAACTAACTTAGAAGAACATTGTTACTGAATCGGCCGTTTATTTCACCTCGAGACTGAGACTATTGTTTGTTCAGTGATCTAGACCTCAAAGAAAAGAGAGCCCTTGACAGTTTAGCTAGACACAATACCGTAGTACAGAGACTGTCAGTATGGCAGAGCGAGTTCGTGTGGTTTTGGATGTTGATTTATGTATGTTACGATAGCTGTTCTTCTCAAAGCCCTTTGTTTTAATATTGGAGACGTTTTTAAAGGGGCATCACTTTTTGCTATACGAGTGTGTCTGTCCTTTACTGCGAAAATCAGTGACAGCATTGGTCTATTTTTGCTGTACTTTAGGTGCTAGATGTCCTGTTAGCACACAGACACGCCTTCTCTGGAGACACTTCCTCTCACATTTTACTCAATATTATAAAATGGTGATTATCTGATCCAACCATAGTTTATCTTGTAAACTATATTTAATGTGAAGATGCATTTTTCCACTACACTATTGGTTATACAGACCCTTTACAGACTCTTATTCAGCTCATTATTTAAAAAAGCCAAGGACTATTATACATTATCACACAATATATATTTCTTATCAGTTACTACTTTAGTTCATTAAGATTTATACTTTAGATTCAGTTATATAGATTATAAATAGTTCTATATCTCTATCACAAATCTCCGACAGTACCTTTCAGCCTTTTAATGATGCTAAATGTTTAGCTGTGTTACCAATATGATATTATTAATATTAATTTTTACAATATTATTTGTTTAATGATAACAATAATATAAAATGATAGTAAAAATAGTGTTTTTTGTGTGTGTGATAGATCAGCCATTTCTGTCTATTCACATGGTTTAGAAGTTCATTTAATGTTCATGACATCACAGCTATGGTGTTTCATCCACCGTCATGCATCTTCAAGCATCTTCTCACCGCCGCGTCATCCGTCTGTGAAAGACGGTGCTGTTCCACTCATTCACTCGGTCAGAGAGCACTATGTGGGGGAGATGTGTCAGTGTTCAGCTTAGTAATAGTGTTACACAACTGGAAGTGTGTGGGCCACACTCTCAAACAACTTGTTGATGTGTGCAGCTCCAGGCTGCTTATCAAGAAAACCAGCCATAGACACACTGTAACCGGAGTAACACAACATTTTATGACCGTATGATGAAATACTATAAATTATGGACATATAATTACTGATGACCATTGAGCCAAGGTTTTTTGGTCATCCAGCCACACTATAAAATATCTGCTGAGTGCAAAAGAATGTAATGGAATAGTTTACCCAAAAATGAAGGTTTACTCAAGTCATACGACAGAATCATGACAGAATTTAAATTAGTAAAAGATGAACTATCTTTTAATCACTGTTTTGCATGTAATCTTGAGGTCTGTGACTTTTGAGAGTGTGTGAAAATAACATGAAAGCTCTTACAACTGTGTGTTTAGTGTAAGGGTTTTAGTGCCCTTGGGGCAGGTGAGTGATCTGGAGTGTTTGGTCAATTGGAGGGCGGTTGCAGGCTCCCTCACCCCCTCCTCCCATCGGAGCAGCTGCCAGTTACGGCTGTCGCCTCCCCGGACGGTCACCTCCCCACTAGCGCGTCACACTCCTGTCCTTGCTCTCCTCTGCTTGCGCCATCTCTTTCTCTCTCTTTTTAGTTCTGGGGCTGACTAGTTCTTGCAGATATGACTCAAATGAATCACCACTCCCTGACCAATCAAAATACACCTTAATTCAGCACAAAGCACTTTAATCATCTTATTTATACCAGTCAGATAAGTTGTATGTCGATATTTGAAATGAATGTGTGTGTTCATTTTTACATTCAAATGACTTTTTCCAACATGTACTCACTTAAAGGGATCGTTTACCTAAAAATGCTCAAATTTGTCATCTCTCATGCCATTCCAAACCCATAAGACTTTCATTCTTCTTTGAAACACAAATGAAGATATTTTTAATGAAATCTGAGAGAAAGTCTATTCATCAAACTCTCACGGTTCGAAACGTTCATAAAGAGACCTTAAAAGAAATCCAGACGAATCATTCTTAAGCTTATGTTTGACCAAATATGAGCGCTCCATGTACATTTGCTGATCAATGTTTAAATGTGAATAAAAGGCTTAATTAAATCTGTTCATCATATAAAGTGATCGTGAGCTTGATTCATAAAATTGATTTCTTTTATAATCTCTTTAGTCTTTATGAATGCTTCAAAGCCTCATGGGTGAATAGACTTT